CGATCAGCTGTTCCGCATTTTCCGCACTCTGGGCACTCCGGACGAGGCCGCCTGGCCGGGGGTGTCGGCGCTGCCGGATTACAAAGCCACCTTCCCCCGCTGGGCGCGCCAGGACCTGGCCAAGGTTCTGCCGCCGCTGGACGACGAGGGCCGCAAGCTCCTGGCGGTGAGGCCGCTCATTCCCAAGTTTTCCCAAATTTTCCCAAATTTCCCCAATTTTTCCCAATTTTTTTCCCTATTTTTCCCACTTTTTCCTGATTTTTTCCCACTTTTTCCTGCTTTTTTCCCGCTTTTTCCTGATTTTTTCCGGATTTTTCCCACCTTTTTCCCCCATTTTTCCCACCTTTTTCCCACTTTTCCCAATTTTTTTCCTAATTTTTCCCATTTTTACCCTTTTTTCCCCATTTTTCCCACCTTTTTCCCACTTTTCCCCCATTTTTCCCACCTTTTCCCCACTTTTCCCAATTTTTTCCCCAATTTTTCCCACTTTTCCCATTTCTTTTCCCAATTTTTTCCCAATTTTTCCCATTTTCCCCCTTTTTTCCCATTTTTCCCCTTTTTTCCCACCTTTTCCCACTTTTTCCCACTTTTTCCCAATTTTTCCCAATTTTTCCCAATTTTTTCCCACTTTTCCCCCATTTTTCCCGCCTTTTTCCCACTTTTCCCATTTTTTTCCCAATTTTTTTCCTAATTTTTCCCATTTTCCCCCTTTTTTCCCCATTTTTTCTCACTTTTCCCATTTTTTTCCCAATTTTTTTCCCAATTTTTCCCATTTTTCCCGTTTTTTCCCATTTTTCCCCTTTTTTCCCATTTTTCCCACTTTTTCCCATTTTTCCCCTTTTTCCCCACTTTTTTCCACTTTTTCCCAATTTTTCCCCAACTTTTTCCCAATTTTTCCCCAATTTTTTCCCATTTTTCTCCCATTTTCCAACTTTTTCCCCCATTTTGCCCAATTTCCCCCCACTTTTCCCCCACTTTTTCCCAATTTTTCCCGACTTTTCCCAACTTTTTCACACTTTCCCCCCATTTTTAACACTTTTTCCTGATTTTTCCCACCTTTTTCCCTGATTTTTTCCCACTTTTTCCCAATTTTTCCCCAATTTTCCCCACTTTTCCCACATTTTTCCTGCTTTTCCCACCTTTTTCCCACTTTTTTCCCTGATTTTTTCCCACTTTTCCCCCATTTTCCCCTTTTTGCTGCT